AAAGAATTAGAGCTTTTTACTCAAAATTTCCTAGGATATACGTGAACTTACATATTTAGTTTAGTTACATATTAGTGAAGTTTAGCTAAATTGCGACGCTTACGTAGCAGCTGGTGAGATTCTATTAAGCTGTCATAGTCTATAGTTTGCCATCATTATGACATGCTAGACAGATTTAATTTGATTGTTTTTTTTTAGTTTTAACTGCATTTACCGAATTGTATTAAGCTATAACTCTTCTCTTTAGCTTGTTAGCCTCAAATAAGAAGGTTGTAGTTAGGTGAAGATACATCTGCTCAAAGTTCACACATAAAGAGAAACATTATAACACTTCTGTGTTCTGCGATAAATATCATTCCGAACATACTGTATATTATACATTACCATATATATCAACATTAACCCAAATTTTATTTTATTGGGCACGGATTGCACACTGTAATTACTCAATGAAATGTTTTCAAGCGGTTTCTGTGGTATTCATGGAGGAAGAACTTTGCTTAAGCAATTTTGATGGAAATCTCAAGGTTACATTTATTATTCTAATCTAGTTAATTATGGCATTTTTATACTCAGCTACTTCAACTAAATCTTGAACTTTTTCAAATTCAGGTATCAGAAACATAGTTTTATTCGATCTTTCTGCACAAACAGCTTAATTTAAAATCCTCTCCACCAACATGGCTGCATAACGATAGATGAAATACAAAACGCTCCATATTTTTTGTGCGTGTTTCAATCTATAAAACTGTGTATGAATCGTTATTCTGTGCATTGTTAAATAGTGCAATAAGGTTGTAGAGACATTAGGATATCTCGAAGCTGGAGAAGTAAAAATGTGCAATTCCTTCGCCTGGAGTCGAACCACGGACCTCTCGAATACGCGCCGAGTGTGCTGATTACTACACCACGAAGGCAAGCTAAGAAGGCGGGAAAATATTTTATATACTTCCCCCTTAATGATGGATAATCCTGGATAAGATGGTGGATAATCATCCTCCATCAGCGTTTTTAGTTTGGGCGCCAGTGTAGAGACATTAGGTTATTTCGATGCTGGAGAAGGGAAAAATGTGCAACGTCCTCTCCGGGACTCAAACCACGGACCTCTCGAATACACGCAGAGTGTGCTGACCACTACACCACGAAGGTATGCTAAGAAATACCTTATAAGTTCACCCAAAGACACTTATGCTCAAATTTAAGAGAAGTTTTACATTTGGTAGACTATATCCAAATCTTGGTGGACTGAATTTAAAGAAATCTGATATGCACATATGTTGATATAATAAAAAAAAAATATTTGAAAAAATTAAAAACTACACAACAGTCGCGGTACGTACACATGCTCTTGCTTATGGCTGCAGAAAAGGTTAATGTTAAGTCTAAAGCAGCCATTCAGGCTGTAGTTATAAATCATGACACAGATTCCCAGATTATTTCAGAAATAAGACAAACCTTGAACTTTCTTTATAAACACAACAAAACAATCGATTTTCAATGAATCCTCTCACATGTAGGTATCGACGGTAACGAAAAGGCTGTCTCACTCCCAAGAGAGGAATACTTGCGCCACAAGACAGCAAACCACTTCCTCCAAAGTCACTTAAAAAGCATATTCTTGAGAAATTAATGGATACTCTTAAATCTGAGCAGACATCAACATCATTGGTCAAATCCTGGGCCTGGAAAAGACAACTGGAAAACTTTTTGTCCGAAACCCCGTAAAGAGGCTGCGGCAAACTTCAGACGACAAACAAGCCTCGAAATCGTCTTAATAAAAATGGCATTTTTCCATCTAGTACATGCCAAATTTACAATTCGGTTATCGTGAATGCCGATCTCCTTCTTATATGCCGAGAACTAGATAAAGAATCTCAGAAACGTGGTGATATAAGTAAACTATACTGGAATGTCTGAGCTTTCACAAACTCCTTGCAGAAGACTACATCTCTTCTGTTCCTTTCCTTATTATTTAAATTTTTAACTTTTTACTTTTGTTCCCATATTCATTTAGTCTGATTCTTGCTTTAAATGTCTGTTCTTTTTTATTTTTATCATTGTTCTTGTGTGATACTTGAGCTGTTTTATATGTCTGGATTGATCTTTCCAATGAAGCCATATGTAACAACAAATGTGAATACAGAGTATTGTCCCCCCTAACAATCATACAACTCTCGTATAGTGACTTCATACTGAAAATGATATAGTGTATGAGTTTCTGTGGCATTCGGTTCTAGATCTGCGGCAACGGTGCTTTCAAACCTTGGAGATTTCTCGGATGGGGAAAGGGAAGATGCAGTTGATCTCCCCAGAGCAACGTATATATGTTCCATGTAATTCCATATAATGCCATAACTAACAGATTAGAATTTAGATCTTTAGATATATGGCTGTCCAATTCATGCTATTAATATCCGTATTTTCCAGAAAATCTTTAACTAGATTAGCCTTAGATGGACAAGAGTTATCAACCAAGAAAAGAAACTAAGAGCCAGTTGCACTCTTGAGCAGGTATACATAGAGTGCTAAAACCTCTTTCCTATATTTCGCAGCAGTCGGCGGGCATCTGTTAAATATATGAAAGCTTGTGCGCCATCTAACCACTAAATCTCGCTGTCGTACTCGTCCATTTCGCGGACATTAGAAGAAACGTAGCGGGTTTTCCAGGTCTCTCCAGGTGAAGGTACACCGAGAGTCAGCGGTTCGGCTGAATGGAAATGCATCTGTCAAAATGGATGGAACCTCCCCGAAAGAAACAAAAATTATCTAAGTTGTTTGAAAATTAGCAAAGGAATTGGGAGTTTTAGGAGATGTAGATAGATGTCAATCAAATTCTTACTGCACATGGAAGGTTCTCTGCTTGCTTAAAATGATTTCACCTGCGTTATGTAATATTGTTTTTTATTTTGATTATCAGTAATTTACTGTTTCTTACTTTTGATTTTCAGTAATGGAATTTTATTAATTTGTTGAGTTTAAGCCGTAACTGTTAACTTTAAAATTAAGTTAGGTTGTGTTATTCTTTTATCCTTAAAAGGCTAAGTTTGGTTTTAAATTTAAATGTTTGCTTGAAAACTTAAATATAGTTATTTGGTTTTATGTAACTGTTTTGTTTGAGGTTGTTTTGGTTTGTTTCGGAGAGGAATTTTGGGTTCTAAAATATCTTGCCTTAACAGCTTAAAATCTTTCGCAGCATTCGCAGGGCTTCTATCAAAGATATAAAAAATCTAACATACCCAACCGCCAAATCTCCCTGTCGTACTAGTCCATTTCTCCTGCTTTCTTAGCATGCCTTCGTGGTGTTGTGGTCAGCACGCTCGACGCGAATTCTAGACGTCCGTGAGAGGGAATTGCTCATTTTTTATGTATCCTGCTTTCAAAAGTACCTAATGTCTCTACAACTCGAAATAGCAACTTCCGCAGTAGACTACTATCATTCAAACTTTAGCTTTAATTTCTAGTCTATTAACTTTAAATTAGCAAATGCAACATTTTAGTTTAATTCGCTTCAACTGCGGTATTTTTCTCTCATCAAAGGACTTTGTGTTTTTATTTTATCGTCCAATATTACTTAGTGTATTTAAACTCACGATTTTTCTTTTTGTATTTGCTCCTCTGTGCGATGATGTACTTTATAAATAGTGCATCTTATTTTTTTAAGCAAATGTCAATGTGGTACAATTATTACTACACTGGTCATAATTTTTAGAAGTTTTATGCCAGCAATAAAGTCATGATATCTGATACCTGATCTTATTTAAATTGCGTACTCAACTCCTGTAATTTTGTTGATTGGATTAGCTTTCTCTAAGCTGTGGATTGTGTTAAATTCTAATGTTTCTTAGTAGTTTAAAGTTTAAAGGATAGCTACGGATCATACTGAGCAATATTGTACCAATATCTCTGAGGAAACATTCCAGCGTTTTGTTTTATTTCTTGTGATAAGAATAAATTTTATTAACTTTTTATCGGACTTGTGCATTCAATATATTACGAACGCAACAATATTAATTCTTTGATAAGAGACTTCGATGCTTTGACTTCATTAAATTCCTACTACTAGCTCACACTCTCCCTATATCTTGTTCAAATTTCCAATCATTAATGAAATACTTTTTATTCATCTACTCGAGTTGAAATACACTTTTTTAAACTTGCATAGTTTTTCACACATTAAAGTCAATTCCTGTTTATTGATTCCTGTTTATCGGAAATAAAGATATGCTGTTTTTTTTAATATATTAAGACTTACAAATAATGATCGTTTATTAGGAATTCTCACGTGCTGTAAAAATTAATCTTATAACAACTTATAAATAATAGTACAGTATTGTGATCAATGGGATTAAATATTTAACAAAAATAAGGGACAACAGTAAGACAGAATTCTAAAGATTTTTAAAGTGTATGGAATTAAAGAATGGTAGTTTTATAGAGTTGGTTGAAGCGGATGTCATGCCCCATTACGCAGTGAAAATTTTCCCCATATTTCTATGTTAACGTGATAATAATATGTCTGAAATATAACCCTTTAAATTGTTCCTCGCTTATTAAAAAATATAAATAGCACTATAAATTATGCGGTAATACATCTACAATGAAAACTCTTCGTAGCGGGTCAAGCCTATGTCGCCTCGAGACGTGTGAAATCATTAGATGGAATATGAATTGAAGAATTGGACTGCTCGAAAAACTCACTGGAAAGGTTCCTTGGAATGCTTAAGCATTACAAGAGATGAAATTATAGAATGAGAAATTATATACTACCATTAGGTTCTAAAATTAGAAACGAAAAAATGTTAATAATCGTAATAAAAACTAACTGAAATAAAATTATAATTTCTTGAACTAAGTAGGAATTGACTTTAAAATTTTTTTATATTACTTATTATTGTTTATGAATATTACAATTTTAATAACTATTGGAATAAAAATTGCTGGGAATGTTATGTGACGTCTAAATGCTTTTGCGAATATACTTATTTTATCTTTTTTTCCAGTCTATATTTTCTTCGGTAACGAAGCGGATTTGATCCAGTTTATGACTATGCTTCAGATACGGAAGCTGCTCGACTCCAAGGAATACGTCATCATATATATAGACCTACACATTTATTCGTTGCCTAACGCTTACAGGTATTTCTGGCGTAAGTGAAAGTTTTCAATATTTTGAAGTTCTTAATGTCTATAATGAATGTGGTTGTATAAAGCTATTATCCAATCTGTGTTCACTGTAAAACAAAATCTGTAAGGTTACTAAGAAAACTCATGGAAACTGGGATGCCATGGGTTATTTAAGTAACAGAAACAGGTGTTTTCTTTGTAACATCACAAGAGTTTTGACTGTAATGGTTACAGATCTTATTCTTGTAATATCACAGCATATAGTTATGTAAGTAGAACATATTTTTCTCATGTAAATTCCCAAACGATATATCTGTAATGGTTACAGATTATTTGCGTGTAATATTACAGCAAATAATTATGTAAAAGAACATGTTTTTCTCATGTAAAATCTCAACAGATATATCTGTAACCGTTACAGGTTATTATGCTTGTATTATTATAGCAAGTTATTATGTGAGTAGAAGATACTTTTCTTACGTAAAATTCCAATGGTTGTATCTGTAAAGGTTTCAAGATTATTTTCCTTCTAATATCCATTAAGTAATTAAGTGTGTAGAATATATTTTTCAATAGATAATACTTTAAAGGATATGTCTATTAAAGTATATAGATTTTTTGTCTAGCTTAATGATGCTTATTATAATAAAATAATTTTGAAAAAAGATGTTTTGAGTAAAACAAATATGCATGTGTCATATCATTATACTAGAATCAAATGCAAGTGAATGCATAATATGTTTGGCTTTTTACTTACCTTCAAATAATTTCCTTTGAATTAACAGATAGAAGTCTTTCATTAAAAACCTAATGTCATGCTTTTTGAATAAGCATAAAACTTTGACAACTGACCTTAATTTTTAAAGCCTTGTTTTCCCTTAAAATTCTTAATACAATTATGCCTTTAAGAAATTTATTTCTAAAATTAATACTTCAGTTTAGCTTAAAATTTAATGCATTTTAATTTTACCTATAATTTTTTACAAATTTTTTACAAACATAATATGTAATAAATCTCAGCTTAATATTTACCATTTCGAAAGTGATACTAAAAAAGTATTCCTAGTTATTATAAATTTCGAGATTCGCAAACAAAATTGTGAAATAAACATGTGACAACGGAAAACAAACTTTATGCTCTCTCTATATTACAGCATGTTAATTAAGAAGTTTATTGAATTTATAATTTTATTGTGAAACACTATGAAGCAAATAATATGCTAATTAAAATACAGAAGTAAAAAATAATTTATTACTTAATTCATAAACTTTACATAAAACCTGAAAAAAAGAATTAATTAAAAAATAACATAATATAATTTAATAAACATTTCATAAAAATTCGTTTCGACTGCTTGGAAAAAATGAATGGTTTTTCCCCTCTTTGTAAACCATGTCTCCTAAATAAAGAAAAAAACATTTCTTTTAAAATCATAATCATGCTCTTAAAAAGCTTATAAAAATTATTTTAATAGATGTTTTAAACATGTGCTTAAATTTAACCAGCATTCCTCATAAAATAACTAATTAGTAAACATAACTTCTCTAGGATGCCCACTATCATTTAAAGATCAAAATTTTCAGGAATCACGTATAGCTAGCTTAGAGAAGGTTCATTGTACAAAAACAGCCAATATTCAAATATTTTCATAAATGAAGCCACCATAGTTATTAAATATAATATACAGTATACTTATATTCAGAATTCAGAACTTGAATAAATTTCTCGAACTGTTTTAGCATTCGAAAAATATTATATTTATTACCTTAAATTTCTAAAACAATATTACATATTCGTCCAAAGGAATCACTGGGACTCGGACAACATTTTCCCCCTAGCTTTCTTTTAGCACAGGATTCTGAATATGTTTTAATGATTTAGGTAATGTTTGTCTTCCTTAAGGCGCTCACAAAACAAGTTACCCTAAATGTTTTGTCCGCATAGTGGTCATTTTCATCTTACTAACTGATTTGCTAGTGGATTTTGGGTGCATGGCCTATTCATGATGATGAAACAATAATAGTGAACAGCTTCAAGAAAATGGGGATATCTAATGCTCTTGATGCCATATTCCCACTTATTTTTACTAATTTTATCTTCCGAAAATTAAGAGGGAAAAATTAAACGAATAATTTAATTTCCAAAGGACACAGTCACAGTAGGAATATAACAAATGAAAAGTAATCATGGATAAACTACTACTATCACAATATTATTTATTTAAAAGAAACCTCTATTTCAATAAGAATACACATAATTGCAACATCTAATAAGTTATCTCATTTCTTCTTTATAATTTGAACTTCTGTCATTCTCATTGTTGTTCTTGCAAATCCTTAGGCCTCAGATCATACATAAATAATTAGAGAAGGTTGTGGTCCGATGCTTGCTAGGGTGAACATTCAGCTGATATGGCAAAATTGCACAGTGAATGGCAGTTGGTATTTGCTTTCACTATCATAGATCATTGTTTGTATTAGGCTGACATAATATTCAACAGTTAGAAGAGAAAGATTCAACGGGGCCTTTAAGTGTGCAAAAGTTTGCCTTTGTTAGTATGACGAAAACAATCATTATGTTGATAAATCCATTTTAAAATCTTGGGATATTCATTTTCTGAATGCATTAAAAAGGGGGAAAATTATGTAAATATTTTTTTAATTTTCAGAATCTGGTTCTAAAGCTGGGTGGGGTGGAATATGCAACGCAATACGGTAATTCTGAAGATCATTGCTCGTGGCAGTACAAACTAAACGGTGATAACTTGCATGCTGTAGAAGAAGACACAAATTGCAGTTCCAGATGCATTAAATGCTTTGAGGTCTAGGGAGTAGCAGTGGGCAATAACTAAGAGTGAAATTCAAGGTATAGGGAAGTAGGAATGAAAATTACTTTTATCAGATAACTTAAATGGTTATGTTACTAAGCGTTCTTATTGGAATGTAGGTTTCTTTTAAATAATAATACTATGATAGTTACCAGTAGTTCATTCATGAATGAATATTTTTGATTGGTTATGATCTTATTGTAATCACATCCTTCAAAATTAAATTGATTGCTTAATTTCCCCTTGATTTTCATACTATAATATAAAAGGAGGGAAAAAAGTCTGCAAGTAAACATAACTCCTCTTTCTCTCTCTCTATATATAGACATGTATCTTCGTGTGCAACTAAGCAAAACAAATGTGACTTTTTTCTTCTTTAAAAAAATTGTGTAAATAAATAGGATGAGAATTAAGTTCATTTCAAAGACTTATGACACATGAAATATACATGATCAAAATAAATTAGAAAATTAAGTTCAAATAAATTTTAAGCTAAATTACGTGTTGCAATGTAAGTTGCAATAATTCAGTTGTAATAATTAATACTAACAAAATCCAAACATCATATTCCCATTCTGCAAAGTATAAAAATTCTTCTGCAAAACTGAAAAAAATGACCAACACTTTGGCTTATTTGATAACTTTCAAATTCACTCCTTTGTTTGCATTTAGAATTTATAACTTTAATTTTTCCACAGAAATTTGTTTTTGATTTTAAAAAATTTCACTGGCATAATTTCATTCACTTCAGCATATATTAATAGATGCAGAAGGTTTTTGTACCTTACATAATTTTAAATCTTATGTAAACTAACGTAATTAATAACAAAATCAAAACATAGATCAGAAACTGCATAAAATTTAATTAATAATTACTACTAGTGTCACACGAAATGCTATGAAATTAATTAATAAAATAAGAATGAGATAAAATATATATAGAATTAATATTCCACATGTGTGAAGTTTGGAAGTTTTACGTTAAATATTTTTTTTTAATTAAGTATTTTTTAAAATGACCCCTTAAAGCATGGGACCTTTCGTAATTAGAACTTGCAAATCCACTTCGCTAGTCTTTCATAACATTGCTTTTCTTTTATTAACAAGAAATATTGCATTCAGTTATTTAATTTAAGGTATTAAAAATAATGCTACTGAAAGGCATGAATACTTACTTAAATTTGAAATTAATTTGGTTGACTTAAAATAATATTTAAAAAAATAAATCTTCACATATACGTCTAAAAATCAGACCATATTAATTTTCTTTTATTTGAACGATATCTGAATTCTGCCTTAGTTTGGACTAGTAAATCATTTGGCAATTAAATGCCAAGCTATAAGAGAACTAATGTAGTTTACAAATGCACTGAATTTTATTTCCTGTATTAACTTTCAAAGAAAGTAAAATTTTTTCTGCATATTTGCATCATTTGGATTGATAGAATATGGCAAAGCATGCAAAGGCTATCAGCCTAAAGGGAAGTATATATTCATGGACGGCGGTTTTGTAAGGAAAAGTAGCTTGCATTTCCATTTATTCATGTGTGTGTATATATATATATATATATTTACATTGTTAATGCTAAAATCAATGCTTCATTAAAAATTCATTATTATTTTATTTTTAATACTAACATACAGATACAGAAGTTGTTTTAAATTCCAATAAACAATAATAATTTATTTTTAAGAAAACTTATTTTATGATTTATATATTATATTACATGAATAAGAGAAACATTAGTCAAGAAATGTATTAAAACTTGTATTAGCAGATTCATGCTATCCTAGTAACAAGACTATCATACTTCAAAAACTGTATTAAAACTGGGCAAAAATAAAATCAACATAAATTCTCCATTAAATGTTTAAAAAACTTATAAGTATGCAATGGTAGTTATATATACAATATAATATATGTTGTCATTTATAAAATATTAATGAAATGATATTTTTGGAAATAATGCACAAAATTTTAGTTTTGTTTTATAATTAGTTTAACGAATTGTTAGAAAAATTTTAGGTCATTTCCATTTTTCCCCTGTTGATATTGGGTATATTAAAATATATGGAATAATTAAGTTGCATCTAGTTAGTAAAACAAAACATTACGAAAAGTATGATACGGCATATTTTTAATCAATATAATTACTTCATTTTGGAATTATAATATTTCGTAAGAAATTAATACC